GGGATGAGCAACCGATGGGCCAAGAGATGCGCGATGGATGGGCCACGTGATGAGCAACCGATGGGCCAAACCATGAGCAACCGATGGGCCAAGAGATTAGTAGCCGATGGGCCAAGAGACGAGCAGCAGATGGGCCAAGAGATGGGCAACCGATGTGACAAGAGATGAGCGACCGATGGGCTAAGAGATGAGCAACCGATGGGCCAAGAGATGAGCAATCAATCGGCCAAGAGATGAGCAACTGATATGCCAAGGAAGGAGCAACAGATAAGAGATGAGCAACTGATAGGCCAACAGATGACCAACCGAGGGGCCAGTAACCCGTGCTTCGAGGCACCTCATCACGCTCTTCCACATATACGTACTGTTGTGCGACATTATTTCTTTCTGAACCAATTGGCACCCCCATTGGATCTACGAATCTTGCGAATGCGGCTATCAACATCCAATACCGTCCCGGTCGTGGAAACTTCGAACTTGGTGCACTTGTGGTCACTCATTACGAGAACGTCCCATTTATCCCATGTTCGCCTGCAACTTACACGCCCTCAGTCATAACAAGTCATGACACACCTTTTAGAAGATCGCTTAATATTTGTTGGCAAGCCCACCAACATTAACGGCCAAATGACATCCGTTCCCCCAATAAAGTCCTTGATCTTGGACCGTCCTCTCCACTTTCAAACTCAAGCTTGCCCTATGCATGTCACATACGAAGGAGCATGCACTCTTTCTAACACGTCATCAATATGTGGCCCTACACCCCACCATTCACAATGGAGCACGAAAAATACGGCATAAGTCCTTGCGCAACACCGTCAGCTTACGACCACATCATGGATAGTCTTTAGCAACTATCTTCTCTGCCTCACATGCCAGCGCAGCATTCATTATGAACCGTATTCCACTCCAACAACAACCATAGGCACAATCATCTACCTAAGCAGGCAGCAACCCGCATAACCACCTCAACATGGAGCACAACGTCAGACACCAACAATCGCTATTACTTGACACCACCCTCAACCGGCCCTGCAATCTGCACTTCGCCAATGTACGCACATGTCTCAGAAGACCCAATTTAAACGAAGCACGTTGCCTTGCAAGAACCAGAAAGCAAGCTTTCTTCATATGATTTTTTTTGAAAGTGTGTAACACTTTCTAAAAATATGTATTATGAAAGCGCAGCTGACTGTATCGAAGCAAGGCAACTGCGAATGCCTATTCCCGACTACATAATGAGGGCTGGAGGCCATTTGGCCTCCACCCACGTCTTCATTTTCGGAACTTGACAGTTCTGCTACCCCTAGTTGGGCAGGCCGGGCAGGCGCGTGCCTCTGGGGCAGTGCTTGCGCAACGGCAGGGATGAGGATGATGACTAGTTGGGGGGGGGAGTGGGATTAAGTGGGAGACGAGGGGACGAGGCTAGAGTAGTGAGAGTGGAGGGGTCAAGGGGGTATTGGCTGGATAGAGCAAGGAATACTGTTGTGTGCATGAGAGAGTTCGGATCGCATTGCATGACATTTTGTTTTGGAAGGTTGGTGGTGGGTGGAGGCATGTGTGGGGTTGTAGTTCTGCCTGCTCTGAAGGCAGAGGATGTGTTACATAGGGCTTGGAACAGCAAGAAGCGCGGGAGATCATGTTTGCTAGTGCGTGCTTGCTTTTCTAAGCCCTGTGAAATAGAGCTGAGGTTGGGTTGTGTTTAGTGTGTGGATTTTGTGTGCTTTTGTTATTTACTGTAATGTTAGCAAGCATCCCGTCCCATGCTTTGTTTTCCTGTGTGCCTTTTCAAAGAGAGACATTGTCTCAAGAGTAGAGGAGCATATAAAGGTTGTGCAATACAGTGCACGCCTCACGGTACGTTTCGGCTGACAACTCAACAAAACCCCCAAGTCTCAAAAGAAGGGAAAAATGAAACAAACAAAACACAACACAAACATGTCAAGATAGCAAGCAGGAATGATTGCATTGAATGAATTGTGGGTACAAGTACTAACCCTTGTATTGGGTTGTACCCCATATGGGCTACCCCACTATAGCCTACACACAACTAGCACATATATGGTTTGATACACCCCCCACAAGCAAAATGGGGAGAACAAGGGGTGACAAGACCGGTCAAGAAAAGCAAAGCAAGCTCAGGGTGGATCACAGCGTCACCACACACTCTGAGCACAAGCAAAAGGGCCACAAGGCCAGTTCACAGGCAGAGGTGTCAAACTATATATATGCTATGGTATACTGGGTAGGCTATAGTGGGGTAGCCAACATGGGGTACAACCCCTTGAGGTTTTGTACTTGTACCAACTCTCTCGATAGTTTACACCATTCCTGCTTGCTATCTTGACATGGTTTCAGAGCAGTAGGTCCGTAGGACCGTTTTTTTTTGGGCCCACCATTACCTAGTGATCGACTACGGTTACCGCGTTATCCCACACCCTGCCCTGCGCTGCGCTGTCAGCGCGCGCCCTGCCCTGCCCTGCCCTGCGCGCACATGCGCCCTGCCTTGCGCCAGCGCCCTGCCCTGCGCCAGCGCCCTGCCCTGCGTCCTGCTGCAGCCCGCGCCCTGTGGCAGCTGCACGTCGCGCCTCGCTGCCCTGCGCAGCGCACCCTACGGCAGCCTGCGCGTCGCGCTCTGCTGCCCCGCGCGTCGCGCTCTACGGCAGCCCGCGCGTCACGCGCTGCTGCCCCGCGCGTCCTGCTCTGCTGCCCCGCGCGTCGCACGCTGCTGCCCTGCGCGTCGTGCTTTGCTGCAGCCCGCGCGTCGCGGCCTGCTGCCCTGCGCGTCGCACCCTGCTGCAGCCAGCGCGCCGCGCCCTGCTGCCCTCCACAGCGCGCGCCCTGCTGCCCGCGCCGCCCAGGCCGAGCCGCGCCACCCGACACGATCCGCCCTTCTGCTCGTGCTACTGCTGCTGCTGGTGGAGGTGCTGCTAGGAGTGCTGGAGGTGCTGCAGCTTAGCCTCATGAGCCACTCTGCTGTTCGTCTTATTGCTGCTGCTACTCGTATTACTGCCTTCACTCCGTACTGCCCTAGAGGTCACGCTCCTCCTAGCTTGCCCGCCATGACTTCACTCTGTAGGAGCGGTGGGAGTGGTGACGGTGGTGGTGGCAGCAGTGGGAGTCGTGGCGGCCGTAGTAGCAGTCACTGTGGAGCTGCGTGGTGTGGAGTCTCTGGCGGTGGCCAGATGCAGCTATGGCGACGTCCGACCCTTACGCCCCAGCACCTTCGTGAGTGGCTTTACCAGCGCGGGACGTCTCCGAGTCCTGGTCGTTGCCCGTACGTCATTCGTACAAGTCGTCGAGCTGGTCAGACCTGTGGGACACCTGGTCACGCACAGTCCCACTGCTTCGCCTATTTGACTGACGCCTGGCATGCAGAGTTTGGCGACGAGGCTGAGACCCCCCACTGGCTTGAGCTGCTTAGGTCGGGCGTTGATGTCTTTGCTTTGGACTATGACTCCATCCTTACTGCCATGTGTGCTTTGCCTGGTGGTGCTGAGAGTGACTGTTACCTCTGTGTGTAGTACGACCCCAGTATAGAGGTTGCTGCTCTAGGTGCTAGTGAGGCTGCTGCCTTGGGTGCTGGTGAGTCTGCTCTCTCAGGTACTGCGCCTGCTGAGGCCTTGCACACCTTCACGCTTGACTCAGGTGCTTCCCGCTGCTTCTTCCGTGACATTACCGCACTCACACCACTCCCTGCACTTGTTGCAGTCTCTCTGGCTGACCCCTCAGGGGGCCCAGTTCTTGCACGGTCCACCACTGTGCTACCATGCCCGGCGGTTCCGTCTGGCTCACTATCAGGTCTCCACCTCCCTTCGTTCTCGATGAACTTGGTGAGCAACGCCGTCCTCCAGGATCATTGGGTTGACACCTTTACCCCTGGAGGACAGCGTGTGGCGATCTGTACGTGCTCCAGGACTGGCCGTCACCTGGCCACGTTCACCCGTCGGCCAGGGTCGAGTCTTTACACATTGACGACTGTGTCTCCTCAGGTAGCTGTTGTCGGTCAGGTGTCTGCGTCAAGTCTGGTAGCCTCCCCTTGTGAGTGTTACTCCCTGTCGCACCAGACTCTTCTCTAGCACCACCGCCTGGGTCACCCCTCCTTGCCACGTCTCCGTGGCATGCACCGACGTCTCCTTGTGTCTGGTCTTCCCAGGTCTCTCCTGTCAGAATCCCAGCCACTAGACCACTGGGATAAAAGGGCTTGTTTCAGTAGCGGGTCAGTGCGCCCATAACCCCCCAGGCGAACGCGCCTGTAACCCTCTCCAGGATCAATCGGGCATCCACAGTGCAGATCTACTGACACCCCCCCACACTGGGGGGGCCCAAGACTAAGCACAGCGGCAACGGCCTACATGTGCATACACCGAGAATCGAACCCGAGACCGCTCTGATACCATGTCAGAATCCCAACCACTACACCATTGGGATAAAAGGGCTTGTTTCAGTAGCGGGTCAGTGCGCCCATAACCCCCCAGGCGAACGCGCCTGTAACCCTCTCCAGGATCAATCGGGCATCCACAGTACAGATCTACTGACATCTCCCTCCCCTCCCTGCCTCCCCTGTGCCGCCCAGCCTTCCTTGTGTCGAGGGGCGGCAGCGCGCCACTCCTCACTCCTCCTTATTTCCCCCGACAGAAGCTCCTCTGCAGACCCTCCACCTGGACGTGTGGGGCCCAGCCCGCGTTCGTGGATAGGGCGGTGAGCGGTACTTTCTGCTGGTTGTCGACGACTACTCGCGTTACACCACGGTCTTCCCCTTGTGCACCAAGGGTGAGGTCCTCGGTGTCCTGATCCCTTGGCTCCGAGCAGTTCGTCTTCAGCTCCGCCGGAGGTTCCGCCAGGACCATCCAATCCTGCGTCTGCACTCTCACAGAGGTGGTGAGTTCACCTCCGACCTCTTGCGGGCCTTTTGTCAGGGGGAGGGCATCGAGCACTCGTTCACGCTTCCGGGCTCACCGCAGCAAAATAGGGTTGCTGAGCGCCGCATTGGCTTAGTCATGGAGGTCGCTCGTACCTCCTTGATCCATGCGGCGACTCCCCATCTTCTGTGGCTGTTTGCGGTCTGGTACGCCGCGCAGCAGCTCAACCTCTGGCCCCGTGTCTCCTTGCCGGAAACCTCGCCCACACTGCGTTGGACGGGGGAAGTTGGCGATGCGTCGCGCTTCTGGGTTTGCGGTGCTCGTGCCCTTGTCCGCGATACGTCCGCGGACAAGCTCTCCTCCTGCACCATTTCATGTGTCTTCCTTGGTTTTGTCCTTGACGCGCATGGCTGGCAATTCTACCACCCCACCTCACGCCGTGTCCTGCCCTCTCATGACGTCACCTTTGACTAGTCGGTTCCTTTCTACCGTCTCTTCCCCTACCGCACTGCCCCTCTCCTTCCCCCGCCGCTTTTCCTCGCTCCAGGTCCCCCTCCGGTAGACCCTCTCCCCCCTTAGGATCCTGCTCCTTCAGGTGTGTCTGAGGTAGACCCGCCCCCCGTGGCTGAGCCTGTAGAGGTCACTAGCGACTCAGGTGCTGCTGCGGGTGGGGCTGCTAGGGGTACTGCGTCTGGGGGTGCTTGTACTGGAGGTACTGGAGCTACCGGGACTGGTACTGCTCCTGGAGTTGGAGGTGTCGGTTCTGGGGGTGCTGGTGCTGGCGGTTGGCGCTGGTGCAGGTTCCTGGTGCTGGCGGCTGGCGCTGGTGCTGGTTCCTGGTGCTAGCGGCTGGCGCTGATGCTGGTTCCTGGTGCTGGCAGCTGGTGCTGGTGCTAGTTCCTGGTGCTGGTGCTGGTACTGGTTCCTGGCGCTGGTGCTGGTGCCTGGTGTTGGTTCCTGGTGCTGGCGCAGGTCTGCTGGTTCGTTTACTGGCGGGCTTGCGGGTCGTGGACGATCTGTGGCATGTAGTGGTGGAGCAGCAGCTTCTCCCGCCACTCCCGCCACGCCCGCCATTCCCGCCACTCCCAACGCCCCCGCCACTTCCGCCACTCCCTTCACAGCAGCTGCGAAGTCGACGGGAGGGCGGGCGGGGAAGAGGTGTGACTGGCGGATGCTGGCGCTGGCGGCCGCCACTCCCTTCCCCCTTTCCTCTTTGCTCCAACTGCGCCCGTCGCTGTTTCTGCGCCGCGGAGCCGCGACGAGGCAGCGTGACGGCGGCGGGTCCATTGGCGGGCTCGCTCGCGTGCCCGTTGGCGGGTTCGTCGGCGGGCGTGCTCACACCGCGCTGGCGGGTCCGTCGGTGGGCTTGCTGGCGCTCTCGTTGGCGGGTCCGACGGCGGGTTTGCTGGCGGATCCGTCGGCGGGCTTGCTGGCGCTCTCGTTGGCGGAACTGACGGCGGGTCCGTCGGCGGGTTTGCTGGTGGGTCCGTCGGCGTGCTTGCTGGCGGGTCCAATCCTGGCGTTCCTGGTGCGTTCCTTGCGTGCGCGGTGGCGTGCATTGCTGGTAGTGCGCGGGCGACGGGCGGAAAACGGGAAAGTGCTCACGAGGCGCACTAAGGGGCGCGCCATTGCAAGCGCTAATGGTGGGCCCATTTGAAAACGGTCCCAATTGGACCTAGCTCTATACCATGTTACGACACGGTCGTAACTTAGGAACCGGGTTTAGGGAGGGCCTAGGCTTAGTAGCCTAGGCCAAGTAAGTGTCGAGGTCAAGGCCAAGAGAGTGTCGAGAGAAATTGACCAAACAAGTTAGCTTCTCTAAAGCAAAGCATACAAGATATAGTCGAGATACACAAACAAGGGGTGCACCACCAAGAGCAAAGAATAATAACTACAGTAACTACAACAAGCAGGATAAATCTCAAATATAGCTTTGACATCTGGAGCTGCTGGAGGAGCTGGAGCTGGAGGTGCTGCTGCAGGAGTCACTGGAGCTGGAGGTGCTGCTGCCGGAGGCGCCGGAGCTAGAGGTTCTGGAGCTGCTGGAGGCGCTGGAGCTGGAGGTGCTGCTGCTGGAGGCCTTGGGGCTGGAGGTTTTGGAGCTGCTGGAGGCGCTGGAGCTACTAGTACAGGTGGCACTGCACCCCCGCGAGTGTTTTTCGCTCCGCCGTCACCGTCGTCTTTGCCACCGCCTGACTCTGTGCTTCGCTAGGTTCTTAGGCTCCCCTCTTCTACTGGCCTCCCCTTACAGCCCGGTGCACCACTGCCTGCTCCTTTTCCTTACAATGAGTAGACAGACTCCCTTACACGGCGCCGTGAGCCTGCGTCTCGTCCTGCCTCGCCTGTTCGCGCGCGTCGCACTGGTAGTCGTGTTCCTTGTGAGCGTCCACCTCCTGTCCCTAGCACGCACGCTATGGCACTTCGTCCTTCCTCTGTTCCACAGCGTGTTCCCCTGCCGTCTGCTCCTGCATCTTCTCTGCCTAACATTAAGGACCCTGAGTCTGACCTGGTTCGTGCTGCTCACCCTACTGTCATGCGTCTGCTAGCCACAGTTGTCACTGACCCGTCGTTTGAGTCTGCTACTGCGCCTGCCTTAGTCTCTGAGTCCCGTGTGCCTACCCTCTCGTCGCCCCTGCTCGAGTCGCGCCCCGTGTGCCTACCCTCTCGTCGCGTCCCCTGCCCTTGGAGGCCCGTCCCGCTCCCCTAAGGCCCCGTAGGGGCCCCTCTCACGGCCTCTCATGGCCCCTCTCACAGCCCTTCGCGGCCCCTTCAGGCCCCTCGTGGCCCCTTCACGGCCTCCCTTCGCGGCCCCTTGGCGGCCCCTTCACGGCCCCTTCGCGGCCCCTTCACGGCCCCTTCGCGCCCCCTTCACGGCCCCTTTGAGGCACCTTCACGGCCCCCTCGCGGCCCCTTCGCGGCCCCCTTCGCGGCCCCTTCACGGCCCCTTCGCGGCCCCCTCGCGGCCCCTTCACGGCCCCCTCGCGGCCCCCTCGCGGCTCCCTCACGGATCCCTTCGCGGCCCCGCCCCGCTGCCCGTAGCGGCCCCGCACCGTCGCGAGTCGCGGCCCCGCCCCGTCGCCAGTCGCGGCCCCGCCCCGTCGCCAGTCGCGGCCCTGCCCCGTCGCCAGTCGCGGCCCCGCCGCGTCGCCCTTGCCTTGTCGCGACGCCTCTGCGGGACCCGCAAGGCGCGGCTCCTGTGCGTCGCGACGCCCCTGCGGGACCCGCGTGGCGTCACCCCTGCCCGCCGCGGCGCCCTGCCCTAACCCGTGTCAGATTATAATGCTTGTCTAGTCTGTAGTGGGGTACTCAAAAGTGAGTATAACCCTTTTGGGCTTGCTACTTGTATCCCTCTTCTTTCTAGTTCAATCACTTCTTCTCCTATTTCTCTTTCATATACCCTAAAAATTTTCTATGGCTTCTTAGCCTTTAGCTACTATCTTGACAACCCGCGCCCTGGAGCAGCCGCCACTAAAGCAGCCGCCCTTGGAGCAGCCGCCACTGCAGCAGCCGCCCCTTGAGCAGCCGCCCCTGAAGCAGCCGCCCCTGGAGCAGCCGCCCCTGCAGCAGCTGCCCCTGGAGCAGCCGCCCCTGGAGCAGCCGCCCTTGCAGCAGCCGCCCCTGGAGCAGCCGCCACTGCAGCAGCCGCCCCTGGAGCAGCCGCCCCTGCAGCAGCCGCACCTGGAGCAGCGGCCACTGTAGCAGCCGCCCCTGGAGCAGCCTCCCCTGCAGCAGCCGCCCCCTGGAGCAGCCGCCCCTGAAGCAGCCGCCCCTTTAGTAGCCGCCCCTGGAGCAGCCGCCCCTGCAGCAGCCGCCCCCGGAGGAGCCGCCCCTGCAGCACCCACCCCTGGAGCAACCACCCCTGCAGCAGCCGCCCCTGGAGCAGCCACCCCTGCAACAGCCGCCCCTGGAGCAGCCGCCACTGCAGCAGCCGCCCCTGGAGCAGCCGCCCCTGAAGCAGCCGCCCCTGGAGCAGCCGCCCGTGAAGCAGCCGCCCCTGGAGCAGCCGCCACTGCAGCAGCCGCCCCTGGAGCAGCCGCCCCTGGAGCAGCCGCCACTGCAGCAGCCGCCCCTTGAGCAGCCGCCCCTGAAGCAGCCGCCCCTGGAGCAGCCGCCCCTAGAGCAGCCGCCCCTGGAGCAGCCGCCACTGCAGCAACCGCCCCTGGAGCAGCCACCCCTGCACCAGCCGACCCTGCAGCAGCTGCCCCTGGAGCAGCCGCCCCTGGAGCAGCCGCCCTTGCAGCAGCCGCCCCTGGAGCAGCCGCCACTGCAGCAGCCGCCCCTAGAGCAGCCGCCCCTGCAGCAGCCGCCCCTGGAGCAGCGGCCACTAAAGCAGCCGCCCCTGGAGCAGCCTCCCCTGCAGCAGCCGCCCCCTAGAGCAGCCGCCCCTGAAGCAGCCGCCCCTTTAGTAGCCGCCCCTGGAGCAGCCGCCCCTGCAGCAGCCGCCCCTGGAGGAGCCGCCCCTGCAGCACCCGCCCCTGGAGCAACCACCCCTGCAGCAGCCGCCCCTGGAGCAGCCACCCCTGCAGCAGCCGCCCCTGGAGCAGCCGCCACTGTAGCAGCCGCCCCTGGAGCAGCCGCCACTGCACCAGCCGCCCTTGGAGCAGCCGCCCCTGGAGCAGCCGCCCCTGAAGCAGCCGCCCCTAGAGCAGCCGCCCGTGAAGCAGCCGCCCCTGGAGCAGCCGCCACTGCAGCAGCCGCCCCTGGAGCAGCCACCCCTGCACCAGCCGCCCCTGGAGCAGCCGCCCCTGCAGCAGCTGCCCCTGGAGCAGCCGCCCCTGGAGTAGCCGCCCCTGCAGCAGCCGCCCTTGGAGCAGCCGCCAGTGCAGCAGCCGCCCCTGGAGCAGCCGCCCCTGCAGCAGCCGCCCCTGGAGCAGCGGCCACTGCAGCAGCCGCCCCTGGAGCAGCCTCCCCTGCAGCAGCCGCCCCCTGGAGCAGCCGCCCCTGAAGCAGCCGCCCCTTTAGTAGCCGCCCCTGGAGCAGCCGCCCCTGCAGCAGCCGCCTCTAGAGGAGCCGCCCCTGCAGCAGCCGCCCCTGGAGCAACCACCCCTGCAGCAGCCGCCCCTGGAGCAGCCGCCCCTGCAGCAGCCGCCCCTGGAGCAGCCGCCGCTGTAGCAGCCGCCCCTGGAGCAGCCGCCACTGCAGTAGCCGCCCCTGGAGCAGCCGCCCCTGGAGTAGCAGCCCCTGCAGCAGCCGCCCATGCAGCAACTGCCCCTGGAGCAGCCGCCCCTGCAGCTGGCGCGGAGCCCTCGCCCTAGAGTGGTCGCGGCATAGCCGTTGCCGCCGTCGTACGCCTGCCCTTCTCGCCACTAGTGAGCACTCCCCTGCCCGTACTGCTGTTACTGCTGCTCTTGCTGCTACTGCTCTTTCTACTGCTAGTGCTACTCCTGGCGTGGCCTGATGCAGCTTCAGCGCCGTCCGCGCGAGTCCCTCGCCCCCCAACAGCTTCGTGAGTGGTACACTAGTTGGGGTTGTAGGGGTGGCCGCGCTGCGACTACTGCTATTGCTACTATTGCTACTATTGCGGCTACCACTGCTCCTGCTGCTCCTGGCGGTGGCCAGATGCAGCTCCAGCGACGTCCGCGTGAGTCCCTCACGCCCAAGCAGCTTCATGAGTGGTACGCTACTTGGGGTTGTCGGGGTGGCCGTAGTGGGAGTCGTCCTGGAATGAGTAGTTAGGCAGCTGCTTGTAGTGGCTAGGTGCAGCTGCAGCGTCGTCCGTGCGCAGTCCTTTCACCCCAGCAGCTTCGTGAGTGGTACGCTCAGCGTGACTGGTCACGGGGTACTGCTCGCTGTCCGTACGTCATTCGCACTGGTTCTCGGACTGGTCAGCCTTGCGGGACGATTGTTCACGCAGAGTCCCGCTGCTTCGCCCGTCTGAGCGACGCCTGGCGTACGGAGTTTGGCGACGCGGCTGAGCTCCCCGACTGGGTGGAGCTGCTTAGGCTGAGGGTAGATATCTATACTCTTGACTATGATGCTATCCTCATTGCCATGTATGCATTGCCTTCTAGTGATGAGGGTGCCTGTTACCTATGTGTTCCGCCTGACCCGGGCATTGAGACTGCTGCTCTAGGTGCTGGTGAGGCTGCTGCTCTAGGTGCTGGTGAGGCTGCTGCTCTAGGTGCTAGTGAGTCTGCTGCCCCAGGTGCTGGTGAGTCTGCTCTCTAAGGTACCACGCCAGCTTAGGCCTCCCACACCTTCACCCTTGACTCGGGTGCTTCCCGCTCCTTCTTTCGAGACTGCACCACACTTACGCCGCTTAGTCGGCCAGTTGCGGTCTCCCTGGGAGACCCCTCTGGGGGTCCTGCCCTTGCCCACTTCTCCACTGTCTTACCGTGTCCGGCGGCCCCTTCTGGCACCTTGTCAGGTCTTTACCTCCCCTCGTTCTCTACGAACTTGGTGAGTGGTGCTGATCTACAGGATGGGGTGGTTCACCTGTTCACTCCTGCGAGTCAGCGAGTGACCCACTGCACGTGTGCTCGGACGGGCCGACACTTGGCCACGTTTACCCGTCCGCCGGGGTCGAGCTTGTACACACTGACTACTAGGTCTCCTCTGGTTGCTGCGTCTAGTCAGGTAGCTGCATCGGGTCAGGTGTCTGCTGCGGCGTCCAGGTCTGGTCCTAAGTCTGCCCCCTGCTCGTGTCGTCTCCTGCCTCACCAGACTCTCCTCTGGCACCACCGCCTTGGTCACCCCTCCCTGCCTCGTCTCCGAGGCATGGCGTCCCGTGTCCTTGTCTCTGGTCTCCACCGGTCCCTCCCTCCTCTTCCTCCAGGGCCTGCCCATACCTGCGTTCCCTGCGTCGAGGGGCGGCAGCGCGCTGCTCCTCACTCCTTCGAGTTTCCTCCGACAGAGGCTCCACTGCAGACGCTTCACATGGACGTGTGGGGCCCAGCCCGCGTCCGTGGACAGGGTCACGAGCGTTACTTCCTGCTGGTGGTTGACGACTACTCGCGTTACACCACCATCTTCCCCTTGCGCAGCAAGGGTGAGGTCACTGGGGTGTTGATCGACTAGATCCGCGCTGCTCGTCTCCAGCTCAGAGAGAGTTTCGGCTCTGACTCTCCTGTTCTGCGTTTGCACTCTGACAGAGGCGGAGAGTTCTCCTCTGACCTTCTGCAAGCCTTCTGTCGTGCACAGGGCATCCGCCAGACGTTCACGCTTCCGGCCTCTCCACAGCAAAATGGGATTGCTGAGGCCGCATTGGCATGGACATGGACGTCGCTCGTATGTCCATGATCCATGCGGCTGCCGCCCATTTTCTGTGGCCGTTCGCGGTTGAGTAAGCGGCGCATTAGATCAACCTTCAGCCCCAGGTCTCCATGCCGGAGACCTCCCCTGCTCTGCGGTGGACGAGGAAGGTTGGCGATGCGTCTGCGTTCCGTATTTGGGGATACCGGGCGTTTGTCCATGACTTGTCTGCGGACAAGCTATCCCCCCGTGCTGTTCCCTGCGTCTTCCTTGGCTTCCCCCCTGACGCGCATGGTTGGCTGTTTTACCACCCCACCTCGCACCGTGTTCTGTCCTCTCAGGACGTCACGTTTGACGAGTTGGTTCCCTACTACTGTCTCTTCCCCTACCGAACTGCGTCCCTCCCCCCGCCGCCACTCTTCCTCGCGCCAGGTCCCCCCCCGGTAGACCCCCTTCCCCCTTAGGGTCCTGCCCCTCAGGTGTGTCCAAGGTAGACGCAGTCGAGCCTGTCGAGGTAGCTGTTGAGCCTGGGGGTGCGGGGCCTGGGGGTGCTGAGCCTGGGGGTGCGGGGCCTGGGGGTGCTGAGCCTGGGGGTGCTGACTCTGGGGGCGCTGAGACTAGGGGTGCTGAGCCTGGGGTTGCTGAGCCTGGGGGTGCTGAGCCTGGGGATGTGGAGCCTGGGGGTGCTGAGCCTGCTCGTGTGGCGTCTGGAGGGACTTGGCCTGGAGGTCCTTCAGGTGCTTCGTCCCGGCGAGAGTTACTCTCTCCACAGGAGCTGCGCGAGTGGTTTGCTCGGCATTGGGGCCGTACTACTGGAGCTGGAGGTGCTGTTGGTGCTGGAGGTTCTACTGCTGCTGAGAGTGCTGGTGCCACGGGTCCCGGAGGGGCTCGTACTGGAGGTACTGGAGCTGCTAGGTCTGCGGGTACTCCTTTGCTGGAGCTGGAGCTGGAGCTGCTGGGGGTGTTGGCGCTGGAGGTGCTGCTGGTGCTGGTGCTTCTGAGGGTGCTGGTGTTGGTGCTGCTGGAGTTGGTGGTGCTGGCGCGGCTGGAGCTGGGGGTGCTACTGGAGCTGGAGCTGCTGGCGCTGCTGGAGCTGGGGGTGCTACCGGAGCTGGTGCTGCCGTTCGTGGTGCTGGCGCTATTCCTGCTGGTTCTGGGGGTGCTGCACGGCCGCGGCCATACTTCGTTCCGCTCCTTGAGCAGGTTCTTGGTCTTCAGCCCTCTACTAGTCCTGCTCCTCTCTTAGAGTGTTCGCTGCCTGTCCAGTCTGAGTCACAGTTACAGCCAGCCTCCCCACTGCCTGCTCCTTCTCCCTACACTGGTCCTACTGGAGGTCTTGCTGAGCGTCGTGAGCCTGCGTCTCGTCCTGCATCGCCTGTAAGTGCTGCTCGCACTAGTCGTCGTGGTTCGCGTCCGCGTCCTCCCTCTGTCCCCGGCACGCACAGGATGTCTCTGCGTCCTTCCACTGCTCCGCTGCGTGCCCCTTTGCCTTCTCTTGAGTCCTCTCTTCCTGCTCTTGCTGACCCAGAGTCGGACTCCCTTCGTGCTGCCAGTCCTACTGTCACGCGTCTCCTGGCTACTGTCGTCACTGACCCTTCCTTCGAGTCCACTGCTGCGTCTGCCTTAGTTGCTGAGCTTGTCGACTTTGCTGCTTGCTGACGTCTAGACTACACTGCTAGTCTTGTCGCTGAGTCTGAGTCTGTCTGTCCTCCGTCCGTCGGGGGTGAGTGTGCCCTTGGCACGGACGTCCTTGAGGACAGGCAGGAGGAGTTCCAGTGTTTTGCTGCTGCTTCACCTCATCTCGCGTCCATGCTGCTGGCCCCTGAGGGAGACCCGGATGCACTTCACATCCCGACTCCGCGCTCTTACGCGGAGGCGATAGAGGTTCCCTACTCCTCTCACTGGCATGCACCCATGGACGCAGAGATGGCTTCCTGGAAGTCCACAAGCACCTACGTCGACGAGGTTCCCCCACCTGGGGCGAACATCGTCAGTGGCATTTGGATTTTCAGGGTGAAGCGGCCGCCGGGTTCTCCGCCTTTCTTCGAGGCGCGTTACGTGGCTCGAGGCTTCAGTCAGTGGCAGGGAGTTGACTACTTTCAGACCTTCTCTCCCACCCCGAAGATGACCACTCTTCGGGTGCTACTGCTCATAGCCACTCAGCACGACTACGATCTTCACTCTCTTGACTTCAGCCCTGCTTTCCTACAGGGTAGCCTGCACCTCCCACCTGGCTTGACTGGGTCTTTTCCTCCTGGCACCCAGTGGAGCCTCCGGCGGCCAGTCTACAGTCTCCTCGAGGCACCTCGTGAGTGGCACGACACTCTGAGGTCTACACTTGCGGCTCTTGGGTTTGCTCCTTCTACTGCTGACCCGTCGCTGTTTCTGCGCACTGACACATCTTTGCCGCCGTTCTACATCCTCGTGTACGTCGACGACTTGGTCTTTGCCACAGCTGACACTTCTGGACTCGCCCGCGTGAAGTCCGAGCTGCTAAAGAGACACACGTGCACAGACCTGGGTGAACTGCGCAGCTACCTTGGCTTGCAGATCACCCGGGACAGAGCACAGCGCACCATTACCCTGACTCAGTCACACATGGTGCAGCAGGTCCTTCAGCGCTTCGGCTTCACGTACTCCTCGCCACTCGCTCTCAGCTCTGCCTTCGGATGAGTCCGTAGAACCGAGTGGCCCGTACCCAGAGCTTGTTGGCTGCCTCATGTACCTGATGACCTGCACACGACCTGACCTTGCATACCCTCTCAGCATTATGGCACGCTATGTTGCTCCTGGGAGACACCTCCCAGAGCACATGGCTGCAGCAAAGAGGGTGTTGCGCTACTTGTGCAGTACGTCGGGCATGGGGCTTGTGCTTGGAGGGCGGAGTCCAGTGGTCCTCACTGGTCACCCAAACGCGTCTTGGGTCGACGACTTGGCTACGCAGCGGTCGTCACAGGGTTACACCTTCAGCCTTGGTTCCGGCTTTGTTTCGTGGCGGTCTACCCGCTTGTCTTCTGTTCTCAGCTCGAGCTGTGAGGCTGAGATCTACGCAGGGGCCATGGCTGCTCAGGAGCTACGCTGGCTCACCTACCTGGTGACTGACCTTGGAGAGCCGCCTCGTTCTCCTCCAGTTTTGTACGTAGACAACAAGGCCATGCTGGCCTTGTGTCGGGAGCACAGACTGAAGCACATTGCTCTTCGCTACTTTCTTGCTCGTGAGCTGCAGCAGCGTGGTTAGCTGCGCCTTGCTTACGTGGCGTCTGTGGCCAACACTGCTGATATTTTTACAAAGGCACTTCCGCCATGTGATCATCAGCGCTTGTGTACGATGCTAGGTCTTGTGCCTAGTTGGCCTCACTTGCTCATTTCTTGACCTTGCTTGTACTGTGATCTTTCTATACCTGCACTTGCTTGTTTGC